TGACCCTCCTCCTAAAAATAAATAAATAAAATATTTAAAACATAATTTCCCCTTTTAAAGATATAATATCAGATCTCCTTTCAAACAGTCTTTTTGAAGTGATCTAATTTATGTCTACAAGACTGCTTCCCCCCACCTCCAGCCCCACAAGTCATGCAAGCTTTCCTATTCCCTGTCTTACTGTCAGGAAGCCCACTCCCCTCTTGCTTGAGTGATTCCTTTCTCCATACAAATGTCACAAGACACTACTGACCATAAGGCATTCTTGGAGAAGGTGTTTTGTCTTAGACTGTAGCTGTGTGTAGAAGGAACATCATTTTAACAAACTAAGAAACTGAGGTGTGATGGCCTCCCAGTGTCCAACTGGTGGGAGCCCATTTACTTTCTACTTGCATATTTTTGGTTAGAAACAGTATAATTCTAAATTCTGAGTCCATGATCTTACTTTCATACAGAAGTAAACAAAAATATATGGCACTGGGGGAGAAAAGTAAGTGCTATAAGAACTAAAGAACTATCTTGAGAGAGGAAAAATTTGGGAAGAACTAAAACCCTGGAGTAGTGACCCAGGCCCTGGTGATGGAAGGAAGCTCTTGAACTGTGCCCTTTTCTTCCCCACCTTACTACCTTGAGAAGATTGCTACCTGTGCCTTCACCACCGTGAAGATGTATATTGGCCCCCTGGGGTTGCCATTGCAGAGTATCACAACCCATGTGGCTTAAAGCAACGGGAATCTATTTTTCACAACTCTGGGGGGTAAAAGTACAGGTCCAAGATGTTAGTAGGGCTATGCTCCCTCTCAAACCTGTAAGGAAATCCCTTCTTGCATCTTCCTAATTTCTGGTTGTTTCCTGGCAGTCTTGGGCATTCCTTGACTTGCATAACTTGGCTTGTTCTGCCTTGGTCTTCCCATGATCTTCTTCTCCCTGTGTCTGTCTTCAGATGGCCATCTTCTTACAAGGACGCCAAATTGGATTAAGACCCATCCTACTTCAGTATGACCTCATCTTAACTAATTATATCTGCAATGGCCCTATTTCCAAATTAGGTGATATTGTGATGTACTGGGACTAGGACTTCTGGAGTTGAGGGGGAGATACAATTCAGCCCATAACAGGCTTATACACACAAACACAATCCTAGCAGCATGCAGTCCAGTGGAGTTATATCAGGAGTCACCAGAACCTAGTTAACCCCTGAATATTCTATATCACCTTCTTGATGGCCACAGCCCTAAAATCAGGTGATTCCAACTACAGGAGATAAGTTCTTTCAAAAGACGAGTGCCAGGGCATCTGGTGGCTTAGTCAGCTGAGCACCCGACTCTTGATTTTGGTTCAGATCACGATCTCAGGGTCCTGGGGATTGAGCCCTGTATCAGGCTCCACACTCAGGGGAGTCTGCTTGAGGAGTCTCTCCCTCTCTCTCTCCCTCTCTCTCAATTAAATAAATCTTAAAAAAAATAACTAATGAAAAGAGAAGATATAGGAAGGTTCCCCCACGAGGCATGATCATCTGGTGAGGGTCAGTAAGGAGGCAGATTGTGAGCTGTATCTCTACCATGATACATGCTTCTTCCCCTTTTAAGTCACCAGGTGTGACATAATCTAGAGACTGAGCACTGATCACCCGGAAATGAATTTACAGGCAGAAGTTTCAGACATCTTTGAATCACAATCATGATAAAAGATAGGAGCAAGCTGTACAAACTCTACTAGATGAATTAAAATTAATAGAACAAAGAACAAAAAAAAAGAACAAAAAAAGAACAAAAAAATTAAAAAATAAAAAATAAAAAAATAAAATTAATAGAACAGCAGAACTAGAATTTAAAATAAAGTGAATATCTGTAAAGAGATAAAATGATATTATTGACACAAAGAAGCACTAATAATAAACCAAGTGGAACTATTGAATATGAAAACTAACATTTGAAATAAAGAACACTGTAGCTGGGATAAGTAGTAGAAATAATGTAATTGAAAACACATCAGTGAGACAGAAGATCAAAGTTGAAGAACTCTCTAGAAAACACCAGAAAGAGGGATCCCTGGGTGGCTCAGTGGTTTAGCACCTGCCTTCGGCCTGGGGTATGATCCTGGAGTCCCAGGATTGAGTCCCACGTCGGGCTCCCTGCATGGAGCCTGCTTCTCCCTCTGTCTCTCTCTCTCTCTCTCTCTCTCTCTCTCTCTCTCTCTCTCATGAATAAATAAATAAAATCTTTTATAAAAGAAAATAAAACGCCAGAAAGAATGAAGCCAGGTAAAAATTTTTTTTAAAGTTGTGGGGTTCCTGGGTGGCTCAGTCAGTTAAGTCTCCCAACTCTTGATCTCAGCTCAGGTCTGACCTCAAGGTCATGAGTTCAAGCCCTGTGTTCAGCTCCATACTGGACATGGAGCCTACCTTAAAAAGAAAAAAAAACTTGAGTGATAGGAAAGATGAAAATAGAAGTATCAAAATTGATATTTAAAAGAAAAAATAAATGGAAGATAAATATTTTTAATGTGACTTGGAATAAAGGATCAGCAACCTCAGACAAAATGGCTCTGAGTGTCAAACATGAAAGAAAGAAAAAACACATGCACTAGATACACTGTAGTGAAATTTAAGAATATAAAAAGAAAAATATCTCAAAATCTTTTAGAGAGATTATTACTTACAAAAGAAAAATATTATAATTAATATCAGACCTGTTAATAACACTGGAAATAAGAAAACAATAGAATAATATATTCATAGTGCTAAGAGAAAATAATTTTGCACCTAGATTTTTATATACTTCATTTTAAGTGATGGTACAAGATAAATAGGTGAAGCACAGAAGATTTTTTAGGACAGTGAAACTATTCTGTACAATATTCTAATGGTAGATACATATCATTAAACAGTTTTCAAAGCCCACAGAATTACAACAGCAAGAGTGAACCCTAATGTAACCTGTGGACTTTTGAGTGAGAATGATGTGTCAATATATGTTCAAAGATTGTACAAATGTTTGACTGTAGGGGCACCTGGCTAGCTCCATCAGTGAAGCATGGACTCTTGATCCCAGGGTTGACTTCAAGGCCCATGTTAGGGACATAATTAACAATAAATAAATGAAATGTTCAACCCTAGTGTGGGAATTTGGGAGCAGGGGTACATAGGAAATCTCCCTACTCTTTGCTTAATTTTGCTGTGAACTTAAAATTCCATAGCAGTTTGTGGGGTTTTTAAAAGATTTTATTTATTTATGAGAGACACAGAGAGAAAGAAGCAGAGACACAGGCTGACAGAGAAGCAGGCTCCATGCAGGGAGCCCCACCAGACTCGATCTAGGGACTCCAGGATCAGGCCCTGGGCTGAAAGCAGGGCTTAACCACTAAGCCACCCAGGTATCCCCTGCACAGCAGTTTTTAAATAACTTTAGGGGTGCCTGGGTGACAAAGTCGGTTAAGCATCGGCCTTCAGCTCAGGTCATGATCCTGGGGGCCTGGGATAGAGCCCCACATAAGGTTCCCTGCTCAGGGGGGAGTTGGCTTCTCCCTCTGCCCCTCCCCCTGCTCATGCTCTCTCAAGCATGTGTCCTCCCTCTCTCAAATAAATACATATAATCTAAAAAAAAATACATATAATCTTAAAAATAAAGTCACTTAAAAAAAACTATCCTTTCTCCATTAACTGTTCTCTTGTATCAAAGATCAATTGACTCTCTTTGTGGGAGTCTATTTCAGGGCTCTGTATTCGGCCCCATTAATCTATTTGTCTCCTGTTTCATCGACACCACACTGCCTGGATTACTGTAGCTTTATACAGAGTTTTAAAGTTTGGTAGAATCAGTGCTTAGATTTTGTTGTTCTTCAGTATTCTGTTAGCTATTGAGTCTTTTTGCCTTTCTTTTTTTTAAAAAAGATTGATTGATTGATTGATTGATGACACAGAGAGAGAGAGGCAGAGACACAGGCAGAGAGAAAAGCAGGCTCCCTGCAGGGACCTGATGTGGAGTTGATCCCAGGAACCCGGGGTCACGCCTGGGCCGAAGGCAGGCGCTGCACGGCTGAGCCACCCGGGCGTCCCTCTTTTGCCTTTCCTTACAAACTTTGGAATCTGTTTGTTGATATCTACACATTTTGATAACTTGGATTTTAACCTCTATTTAGTTTAAAACATTTAAGAGTTTTTTCTTGAGATGTTCTTTTAACCATTTGTCCTTTACATGTGTATTGTTTAATCTGCAAATATTTTGGGATTATCTATCTTTCTGTTATTGATGTCTAGCTTAATTTCACTGTGATTTGAGACCATGTTTTGTATTATTTCTATCCTTTTAAATTTGCTAAGATGTGTTCTATGGCTCAGAATGTGGTTTATTTTGATGACTGTTCCATGAGAGCTTGAGAAGAGTATAGGTTAATATACAGCATGTTTGCAACCGTTTTTCATTCATTGCATTTGTTCCTTTAAAAAAAAATTTTTTTTCCCAGGGTGCCTGACTCAGTCTGGAGAGCACGGGACTCTGGATCTCAGGGTGATGAGTTCAAGCCCCACATTGGTCGTGGAGCCTACTTTAAGAAAGAGAAGAAGAAAAGAAAAGAAAAAGTCTTTCCCTGTTTCTGCCTTCTCTAGTTTAACTGGACATCTTATTTAATTCCAATTTCTATTTAGCATATCATTTATGCTTCCTTGAAAAATATGTTAGCGGTTGCAATATATATTTACAGCTAGCCTGAGCCCCTTTCAAGTAACTCACTGCTTCATAGGAAGCGCGGGTGCTTACAACCAGCATCCCTGGTCGTCTCCCCGGCCCCCGACACCGCTGTCGTTCGTGTTATTCATCCATGTGCTGTAACAACCCGACATACTATTGCTGTTGTTACTTTGAAAAACAATAATCTTTTGGATTGGTTATAAATAAGAAAAATAAAAGATTTTGTTTCACCCTCTCTTATTCCTTCTCCGCTCCTTCTCCTTTCTTCAGGAGTTTCCGATTGCAGCGGGCCCACCCCGCGGAGCCGCCTACTTCCGGCCCGAGTCCGACCCGGGACCCGGAGCACAGAGTCCTCTGAGCGGCTAGAGCGGCCGCCGGAGCCGGGCAGCCGATTGTAGCGGGTCCACCCCGCGGAGCCGCCTACTTCCGGCCCCAGAGTCGGACCCGGGAGCCAGGACCCAGGACCCGGGACCCGGAGCACAGAGTCCTCTGCGCGGCTAGAGCGGCCGCCGGAGCCGGGCATCCGAATGGTGGCCAGCTGGAGGCCGCGGCGGAAGTTCGGGGCGGCCACTTCCGGCCTGGCCGCTTCGGGCTCCCGGGTCCGGCGTCCGCGAGGCGCACCTGCCCCGAGTCCGAGCCGAGTGAGTGGGAGCCCGGGCGGTGGGCGCAGAGGCGTCGGAGCGGCCCTGGGGGGCGCCGGGTGCGGAGCGCGCGGGGCGAGAGGCAGGCGGGGGGCGGCGGAAGGCCCCGAGTAAAGCCGCCGTGGGGGGAGGGGGCGGCCGCTGGTTGGGGAAGGCGTCAGGAGGGGCGAGGTCTGGGCGAGGTCGGGGGATGGAGGCGGCGGGGGGCGCGGACCGAGCGGAGGAGGCCGCCGGGGAGGGCCGGGCGGCAGGTCACCGCGCAGCGTTCAGCGAGGGATGAGCGGTGATCGTGTCGGATGTTCGCCAACGCCGTGCAGATACCGTGCAATGCACTGTCTTCGTTTAATCGTCAAGTTGGTCACTTAGATGAGTGGCGGTGATGTCTTAATCACTTATCTGAGACATTTGCACCAATAGGTGGTGTGTTCAGGTGTCCGCCCCGTTAGCTTCCAGCAGCAGCGTTCCGCGCTTCCGCGTCGTCTGGGAGCGAAGGCGGAGCAGGTCCGCTCGTGGCACGCGGTGCGATGCCTGGGGCGCGACGCTGTGGACGGGGGAGCTGGCTTTGTATCAGGCTGTTGGGGAAGACTTTCCTGGGAGGGACGGCCCTCAAGTCACCTGTCAGCCTAAGGTAAAACCCAATAGGTGGTTCTTTTTTTTTTTTTTTTTTTAAGATTTTATTTATTCAGGAAAGACCCAGAGAGGCAGAGCCACAGGCAGAGGGAGAAGCAGGCTCCCTGCAGGGAGCCCGACGTGGGCCTCGATTCCGGGACCCAGGATCACACTCTGAGCCCAAGGCAGGTGTTAAATCGCTGAGCCACCCGGGGATTCCACCCAGTAGGTGCATCTTTTTTTTTTTAAATTTATGATAGTCACACACACACACAGAGAGAGGCAGAGACACAGGCAGAGAGAGAAGCAGGCTCCATGCACTGGGAGCCCGACGTGGGATTCGATCCCGGGTCTCCAGGATCGCGCCCTGAGCCAAAGGCAGGCGCCAAACCGCTGCGCCACCCAGGGATCCCCCAGTAGGTGCTTCTAAATGTCACCTGTATACAGACAGTTCCCAGTGTAGTACCAAACCAGCTTCAGCGTTTCTCTTGAATTTTGGATCAATATATCCAAAAGCTCTGATTCTCCACTTGTGAATCTGACAGGCATCTAAAATACGACATGTACAAAAAACAACTTTTAATTTTTACCCTTCAGATGTACTCCTGCAGTCATATCCCTCTGAGTGAATGGAAATTTCAATATCTTAGTAGCTTAGGCCAGAAATCTTGGTATCTCATTTCAGGTCTCATTCATCAGCAAATTGTATTAACTACACCTTTGAAATGCATCTAGAATCTGATCACTTATCACCTGCTCGCACCATTCTAGTGCAAGATACTGTCATCTCTGGATTATTGCTAGAGCCTTCCAAAAGGTCTTCCTATTTACATCCTTACCCCCCCACACACACCTCCACCCCCAGTCTGTTCTCAAAACAGCAGCTGTAGAGGCCACATGGCAGGTCATATCATTGCCTAGATCTTCCAGATGCTTCCAATCTCATTCAGAGAAAAAGCCCAAGTCCTACAGCCTATGGGGCACCCCACACTCCTCTCCCTTGCTCTCCCCTACTGCACTTCAGCCCTTCTGGCCTCCTTGCCCTTACATGAACACATGCAGTGGGCTTCCACCTCACAGCCTTTACACCCATGCATTCCCCTTCCTGGGATGTATCTCCTTTAATTCCACGTGGTACCTGCCCTCACTCCATCTGAACGTTTCCTTTGATGTTGATTTATAAAAGGTGCCTTCCCTGGCCATCGTGTGTAAAGTATCTCCTACCACCAATTATTGCCCTCATGCTGTGTATTTTTTCTATCCCTTATCATCTATCATCACCTGACTCAGGTATCTTGTCTGTCAACCTCCCTTTGCTTGTACCCTGCCTTAGAGGAGGAGCCTGGTTGTTCTGAGCTGTTTGCCCACTCTCCAGGACTTCTGAGGTGGGCCTGGGATGAAGCCTATTGTCCACCCCAGCCAGGTTCCCCACAGGAGCCATTATGTGGTGGACTTAGGATGCTGTTTGTACTGGAGGCTGCTGGGGAGACCTCATGGTGGACAAGGGGATATAGTCTCAGAGATCACTGGGTGCTTAGTCCATCTGCCCTTCCCAGGGCTTTCTGGCATCCCCAAACTTGGTCTCTGCTTCTCTGCTACTATAGACCTCTTGAGACCCAGGCATGGAAGTCTCAGTGTTGCTGTGAAAAGCAGGCTGGTCACATTCCTTTACAGTCTTTTCTCCACCTGTCATTTCACCTACCTCCTTGGGATGAGCTAAGAGACCCAATGATGGCCGTCAAGCAGCTCCTTCCTGTTGGGTCCCAGGTGAGTGGTCCTCATGGAGATATCACTCGGTAGCCTTAGCCCTTTCTTGGCTGGAATGTCTTCAAGGTTCTTTCTGAAAAGCTGGTCCCAGAGGGTAGATGGCTCCCTTTCTTCACCAATGTCCTCAGTCCCTGAGTTCAAGTCCCTGAAATGTGCTTCACGTTCTCTTCCCAATCCCTGGGCAGTAGAGGGCAGCAGTTGGGCAGACAAAGACAAGTCAAAATGGTACTGGTCTCAAAGAGCCCACTCTTGTGAGGACAGTAGTCTGGTACATGTATTCAAAGGGGTTTTGCCCATGATGTGCCTAGTGGGTCCTCCCCACCCCAGGACCACCCTGGGCCTGACCCTGGAGATGCAACAAAATATTGTCATTCCAGGTTTTGGTTTCCTTTGAAGACGTGGCTGTGCTCCTCTCCCGGGAGGAGTGGAGCCATCTGGGCCCTGCTCAAAGGGGCCTCTACAGTGATGTGATGCTGGAGACCTACAGGAACCTGATCTCACTGGGTAAGGCTCTGGGTTCCTTGCTAGTGAATAGGACTGGGGTTAGGCTCAAAGCTCAGGGGCATCTTCCCCTCGGGGCCCAAATATAAAGCATTTCTGACCCTGGACTCAAGTGGGCCTTGTCTGCACAGAGGAGAGGACAGTCAGTGCTATGGACTCCCCCAATTTCCTTGTAGGAAATATGGAAGAGGAATAGCATTCATTGAACCCTAAATATATTCATATCCCCAGTTAATCATAATGTATCTTCAAGGTTGATGTTGGGTTAAATGGTTTATAACTGAATCCAAAGCTGACAAAGATCCTCACTTTCTTAAGTTCACACAGGCAGTCAGGGGCAGATCTGGGATTTGAATCCATTTGGTTTCAGAGCCCTCCCAGAATATGCTGCTTCCCTTTAGTCCTTGTGGACATCAACACCAAGACACTCTTATGATCTTCTAGTATAATGTGTGCAGGCCCCAACTCTGTCCCTTATCCTTATCCCCCAAAGAGCTGGGTTTAACTTTTCTTCAGCTGGGGCAGAGGCCTGCATCTGTCTCCTCGGTTTACAGATAGGGGCAGGGGAGGTCATGACCAGCACACAAGTGCCACCCATGGGGCCATCCTGCCCTGGACTTGGATGAATTGTCAGCCTTTCTTCCTTTCTCTGGAGCAGGACTTCAAGGTTCAAAACCTGATGTCATCTCCAGGCTAGAGAAGGGGGAAGAACCATGGGCCCCATACTCAGCGAAAATTGAGGAGAGCTGGATCCGGAGTCATAAGAGTGAAAGTGAGTCTCCAGGAATGCCTCCATGCTCCCCTGCCCCAACTGGCAGGTGCTGCCACTTTGCCAGGCCCTGCTATGCAAGCTCTGGACCTCATCTTTTGTCAGTGCTGGGGCTTTGCTTTCCCTCTTCTCCATGTCTACCTCTTTTCTCTTTTTTCTGTGTTAATACCCCTATTTTTTACCCATAAGTGAGTTTATGTTTCCTTTACCCTACAAAATGCTCTTTCAATCCCAGAAAGGAGCTCAGGTATATCATCCACTCCTTCTCAGGCCTTGCTGGCCAGCTGTTCCTTAGCTGCTTAGAAAGACCATCCAGAGACATGCCATCGACCCAGACTCACTCCTGCTATTGCTCACTCAGAGTTCCCAGGCTGATTCAGGGCCTTGGGGAAAAACATGAGCTAGGGTTTCTTGCTGTGTAGCAAAGGATATGGGCATGTAAATAATGTAAATAGTACACAGTAAGTGGAGAAGAGTCCACTTTGCTGACACAGTGAACTTACACAGTCCTCCCATATCCTCGCAGAGTCGGTACCCAAGGAACTCTGAGGCATGGAGAGATTTGGTTGCTGGCCTGAGATCACAGCTGGCCAGGAACAGACCTGGGTTGGATCTCTGGCATACTGGCTCCATACCCCATCTGAATTTCCCACCTCTTAGAAACAGCTTTATTAAGGTATCTTAAGCACATAATATGCTATACATATTTAAGATGTGCAATTTGGTAACATTTCTGCATTATATGTGTATGAAACTGTTCACTACAGTCAAGATTGCAGACATATCCATTACCCCCCAAAATTCTCTGTTGTCTCTTTGTAATCCCATCCTCTCACCCCTTCCCGTCTCTGTCATGAAGCAGTTACTGATCTGCTTGCTATCAATATGAATTACATTTTCTAGAATTTCATATCATTGGAATCATAGAGCATGTACCCTTTTTTTGTCTGAGATCTCTTGACCCAATATAATTCTTTTGATATTTATCTGTTATATATCAATAACTCCTTTATTTATTTTGATTAATATCCTATTTATATGGATATGCCACAGTTTGTTTATCAATTCTTTTAACATACATTTGTGTTGTTTCCAGTTTGGGGTTAATACAAATAAAGCTGCTATGAACATTTGTGTACAGTTCTTTGTATGACCATACATTCCTTTTCTCTTGGATAAATACCTAGTAATAGAATGGCCGGATTACATTAAATATACATGGCAGGTGTATATTTAACTTTTAGGAAACCGCCAGAATGTTTTCCAAACTGGTTGCACCATTTGACATTCTCACCAGCAATGGATGGGAGTTCCATTTTCTCCACATCCTTATCAACACTTGGTGTGTTGAGTCTTTTTCATTTTAGCCACTATGATAGTTGTATAGTGGTGTCTCGTGATTTTACTTTTAATTTTAATTTTTCTAATAGTTAAAGATTTTGACTATCTTTCCATGTGCTTCTTTTCCTTCTGTGTATTTACAATGGCGAAGCATCTGTTCATGTCTTCACATGTTTTTTTTTAATCTTTTTTTTTTAATTTTTATTTATTTATGATAGTCACACACAGAGAGAGAGAGGCGCAGAGACATAGGCAGAGGGAGAAGCAGGCTCTATGCAGAGAGCCTGACGTGGGACTCGATCCCGGGACTCCAGGATCATGCCCTGGGCTGCAGGCGGCACTAAACCACTGCGCCACCCAGGGATCCCTCTTCACATGTTTTTTAACTGGGTTTTTGTTTTCTTATTCTTAAGTTTTAAAGAGTTGCTTTCTAAATGTAGGAATGTTCCAGTTACAGGCCCTTTATCAGATATATGCTCTGCATAGATTTTCTCTCCCTGTGTGCCTTGTCTTTTTGTTCTTTTACCAGTGTCCTTTGAAGACTAGAAGTTTTATTAAATTTTGATGAAGTTTATCAGTTTGTTCTTTTATGGATTGTGCTTTTGGTGTCATATCTAAGAAAACTTTGTTTAACCCAGAAGATTTTCTTCTTATAGAAGAAAATTTTATAACTAAAAATTTTAGGTATTTGGGTCTGTGATTCATATTGAGTTAATTTTGTGTCTGGTGTGAGTTACGGAACCAAGTAAAATTTTTTACAAGTGGATATCCACTTCCAGTCCCATTTGTTAAAAAAAAAAAAAAAAAAAAAAAAAAAAAAAATCCTTTCTCTAATTGTATTGCCTTTGTCCCCTTGTCAAGAATAGTAAAAAAGTAGTAAAGTAAATACCTTTAAAGTTCTGTGAGTAGTTCACTGAAGTCTGTTAAAATGACTTAGTCCAATTTTAGACCCCATCTAATCAACATTTTCAGCTCACTCTCCTTGTCTGGATAAACAGTCTGAAAATAACAGCCTGTTACAGCTTAATAATAACCAGTCTACAAAAGAGAGGTTCCAGGGATGCCTGGGTGGCTCAGTGGTTGAGCATCTGCCTTTGGCTCGGGTCGTGATCCCAGGATCCTGGGATTGAGTCCTGCATCAGGCTCCCCAGAGGGGCCCTGCTTCTCCCTCTGCCTATGTCTCTGCCTCTCTCTGTGTCTCTCATGAATAAAATCTTTAAAAAGAAAAAAAGTCCAGTATCCTCCTAAGAGATAGTTGTTTCATATAAATGTTCCTATTTATGCTCTAATTCTTTCTCCCATAGTAAAATATTAGTAACTCATTTTTCTTCATTCTTTCAGGTTTTCAGTCTCTGATGGAAAAGAAAGGATTGACTCCAAAACAGGAAATTTCCAAAGCAATGGGGTTCCGGAGAGCAAAGTCAGAATATGTAAGGAATGTTTCCAAGGAATCTGAGTTTGAAGAGATGAATAAAACCGAGGGAAAGTTAAAGAATTACAGGAAAAAATCTGCAGAGGAAGAACTTAAGAAATCCTTCTCCCAGAAGAACAGTTCCAGGCCAGTGACGTTGACACATGTGAAATCCCCTGTTGCAGGAAAAGGCCAAAAATCCAGTTCTCTGGAGGTAGACTACACTATAGATGCAAGCCCTGTCAGATTTCATAGAGCATCTACAGGGGGTAGTCTCCCCCAGAATGTGCCATGTGTAAATGACTTTCAACAAAGTCAGGACCTCATTAATCTCCAGTGTTTGCATCTAGGAGAAAGAGCTTGTCAGACAGATGTGCTCATGAAAGCACCCAGGCAGAGTTCAGTTCTCAGTGAGAATCAGAGGGTTAACAATCCAGAAAAATCCTTTGAATGTACTGAGTGTAGAAGACTTTTCAGCCCAAGTAAAGCTCTGTCTCAGCATCAGAGAAGTCACACTGGAGAGATACCCTGTGAGAGTGGTGGATGTGGAAGAACTTCCCACCACTGCTCTGTCCTCAGCCAACATCAGGAAGTTCACCGTGGAGGGGAGTCCCATACCTGTGCTGAGTGTGGCAAAGCTTTCAAGGCCCATTCCTACTTCATTCAGCAGCATAACACTCACATAGGAGAAAGGCCTTATGAGTGCAGTGAGTGTGCACATTTATCTTACAGTCAACATCTTCAAATTCATAGTGGGCAGAAACCTCATGAGTGTAGTCAGTGTGGAAAAGCCTTTAGTCATAGTTCTAACCTGTTTCATCATCAGAGAATTCATAGTGGAGAGAAACCATACGAGTGTAAGGAATGTGGGAAGGCGTTCGGTAGGCACTCGCACCTCCTTCAGCATAAGAGAATTCATTCTGGAGAGAAACCTTATGACTGTACTGAGTGCGGCAAAGCCTTCGGTGCACGGTTATCTCTCATTCAGCATCAGAGAACTCATACAGGAGAAAAACCCTACGAATGCAATGAATGTGGGAAATCCTTTAGCCTGAACCGAACCCTTATTGTTCATCAGAGGATTCACACTGGAGAGAAACCCTATAGGTGTAATGAATGTGGGAAATCCTTCAGTCAGCGCACACAAGTCATTCAGCACAAGAGAATTCACACTGGAGAGAAGCCCTATGTCTGCAATGAGTGTGGAAAGTCATTCAGTGCTCGCTTGTCCCTCATCCAGCATCAGAGAATTCACACTGGAGAAAAACCTTATGGATGCAGTGAGTGTGGGAAAACGTTCAGTCAAAAGGGACATCTGATTCAGCATCAACGAATTCACACTGGAGAGAAACCCTATGAGTGTAATGAGTGTGGAAAAGCCTTCAGTCAGAGTTTTAATCTTATTCATCATCAAAGGACACACAATGGTGAGAAGCCCTATGAATGTAATGAATGTGATAAAGCCTTCAGTGTGCTCTCTTCCCTTGTTCAACATCAGAGGGTCCATAATGGTGAGAAGCCCTATGAGTGTCACAAATGTGGGAAGGCCTTTAGCCAGGGCTCGCACCTCATTCAGCATCAGAGGAGCCACACTGGAGAGAAACCCTATGAGTGTAATGAGTGTGGGAAAACCTTTGGGCAGATATCCACCCTAATTAAGCACGAGAGAACACACAATGGAGAGAAACCCTATGAGTGTGGTGACTGTGGGAAAGCCTTCAGCCAGAGTGCACACCTCGTCCGCCATCGAAGGATTCACACTGGAGAGAATCCCTATGAGTGCAGAGACTGTGGGAAAGCCTTCAATGTCCGTTCCTCTCTTGTTCAGCATCACAGAATTCATACAGGGGAGAAGCCTTATGAATGCAAGAAGTGTGGCAAGGCCTTCAGTCAGCACTCACAATTTATTCAGCATCAGAGGATTCACACTGGAGAGAAGCCCTATATTTGCAATGAATGTGAGAAAGCCTTCAGTGCACGTTTATCCCTTATCCAACACAAGAGAATTCACACAGGAGAGAAACCTTACAAATGCACTGAATGTGGAAAATCCTTCCGACAAAGCTCTCACCTTATTCGACATCAGAGAGTTCACAGTGGAGAGCGACCTTATATGTGTAATGAATGTGGGAAAACTTTTAGCCAGAGAATAACTCTTACTAGTCATGAGAAAACTCACACCGGAGAGCAAGCCTATAAGTGTGTTAAACGTGAGGACCTCTTAACTGCACAGTCAGCTTCCATTCAGCACCATAAAGTTCACAATGGAGAATAACATCTTTATTCAATAAAGTCTTCACTATTTTACATCAGGAGCAGTATACTGATGGGAAAGCCATCACTTTTACAGCTTTCATTTTGGAGATTGATCTCTTAAGTGATTTATCAGTCTCCCAGTGCACTGTTAACTAAAAGCAGGATGCCAAAATATGTGGCAAAAATTCCAAGGTCACATGCCATCCCTTAGATTCAGAGGGTGGATCTATGCTTGAGTGTTTTAAAGGATCACAATTTAATTACACTTACTCAAGATTGTGTTTTCATAGCACCAGACTTTAAGGTGCACTGAGGTACTTTGTGGGACCACCTGCTTTTCCTTCCTCATTGTCTATTTAAGGTTCAAGAAAAGTAGTTGGAATCCTTGCTCTTTGATTCATGATAGAGCCAGATTGGGATTTCATTGTTGGTTTGTTTGGGCCTCTTCAAAATGTTTTTGTTTTATTGTGAGGAGATGTGCCTTCAGAAGTGTTATCCCTTTCAGCATCAGATAATCTAAACAGCAGAGAAATCTTGGCAAAATTTGCTAAGGAATGAATTTAGGTTTTTATGTAGATTCAAACTTTGAGATCCTGCTAAGAACTCCAATGACACATGTAAGATGAGTTTTTCTACAAGGTAATTTGGAAAATCAAAACCCTATGAATTGGGAGGAAAATAAGCATAAGGTAGACACACAGTGGCATGGAATATGACTTACAGATTTTGTTCTTAAAACCAAGGTTGGTGTATTCCATATCAGTTTTTCAGCAAGCAAAGGTGAGTGGTCATCAGTTGTTCCCTTTTACTGAGCAGCCTGGCACTGAACAGACCCTGAAAAGTGGCATGTCCCTCTGCTACACCAGAGGACAGGACTCCAGGAGAGGCAGGGTCATTAAGCAGCTTTGAGCAGGTTGATAATTATTCAGGTTGTTTGTCAACCCATGCACTCTTTTCTACATACTTTAAAGGTGCCTTTTGTCCTCTGGAGTGACATTGGTCAGCAGCGTCTCTGTGTCTTTTGGTTCTTGATGTTCAAACTGATTTTTTTTCCTAGCCCCAGTTTTCAGAATTGCTACCCTTGCCTGTAGTGTTTCTGCCTGATTCACTTGTGAGTGGCTCACTTCAGTATCCTTAGAACCTCCTTCTCCAGGAACTTCTTTAGCACTTTCTCCTACTTTTTTTGTGGAGGAAAGATTAGCATCAAAGTGAGCTGAAATGGGTTGTAGATATGAGAAATTCAGCAACAGCAGTCTATGAGAGACTTCTGGAAGCTGAAATCTGGCAATGAGAGCTTAGAGTCTGATGAACAAGCTGGATGCCATATGTACAAACATCTCGGGATTGGCCAGTTAATATTTGTGATAAGCTACAATGGAATGATGCTTTGTATATAAGAATTGGGGTAAGAAAGAAGAAAGGTTAAGAGTAATGAATTACTTAGTAATTAGCCATTTTATTCCTTTATAGAGTCCTTTTCACTAATAAAGTTATTCCAGTTTTCCTGTTTATTAAAGGAGCTTTCTTAGAATTTGATCTTTTCTCCTTCATTGACTTGACCTATATTTCAGGTCTTATTTTCCAGGCTGTTGTCCATATTGCAGTGGTAGTGGTCTTTGCTTATCTTAGAATGTTGAAAAGCTGATTGGAAAATCTGCCTCTCCATTGTAATCCTCCTAAACACATTTCACCACAAATAGGTTTGACTTAAAATAAAATAAAAACTGGAATGAATTTACTGTGATAATAAGGGCTATATGCTGAACAAAAATTCTGATTAAGTCTATAAAGCCTTTACTTTTATTTTTACTGTAGCATATACCAGGCATTGTGATTAATGCTTTGCGTGGGTTTTCTCATTAAACCCCCACATCATTTCAGTGAAGTAAGTACTTTTATTTACCGCATTTCATGGTGAGCCTGAGGCTTAGAGAAGCTGCTCGGTAGCAGTGCTGGCTCTGTGTGGCTCCACCACCCAGGCTCTCGATGCCTTCTGAGTCCTGCTGTACCCCAGCACCGCAAGAATGAAGGAGTGCTAGCAGGGAACTTGCAGCCCCAAGGCTGACCCATCTGACTTGATTCTAAATAGGAAATAGTACATTTTACTTAAACATGTTTTGGTAAATGAGGCTTTCAGGTACTTTATCAATGAAGGAAAATGAGAAAATCCAAAGTTAGGAGCCTCTGGCTTATAACTTCCCCAATCATTGCCCAACATAAAACATAAAACAGCTAAAACATCCTTCTGACTAATTCCTATGAGTCTTTGTTTTAGTTTTCAGTTAAGTACCTCACCTAAATTGTATTAATTTTTATTTACATAGTTGTTAATGTTCTGGATTCTAGTCATGTTTCTCTGTTACCCAATTTCTTCTTTAGCTTGTTGATGACTAATACTGGCTGGGAACCAGACCGTCCCCTGATGGTGCAGAGTCTCTGCTACACTGTTGGTTAGCACAGAGCAGTCATCCACTTGACACCCCCAGCTTCTAAACCACATAAGTCAGTTATACTTGAGAAGGACATTTCAGCTTCTTCAGTAGATGGAAGGAAGCTTTCCAGAAGAGAGATTCATTCTGCAGTGACCAGAAGTGCTGACTGATACCCTGCTCACTCGCCCCAGCCTACTTTTCCCTCAGCCCAGAAGGGTCACCCAGGCTTGAGAAATGCATTGGCAAGGGTGCTCCAACTTCTGTGAAAGATGCTACTTCTATAGGCTAGGGATGGCAGTAGGAGAGCTGTCATGAAAATAGGTTCCATAACTCTGGGGATAGTTGAATACCAGACAGTAGCTCAATCCTTTCAAAGCCATGGAAGCGTGTCACCTTAACAGGCCCACGGCCAGAGCAGTAATCAGAACAGTTACCCTGCACAATGGTGATGGTGTCCCTGAGACTGAAGTAGATGGCCTACTAAAGTCTCTATCAGTATAAGTGAAAAAACATTAAAGTTGATTAAAAGACCTGAACCTCATGAAGGGATAAAAGGCCAGATTCTCTTCAGGAAAGACCTTGAAGCTCTTCCCCACCCCCATTTTATACTATATCTTATTTCCTTCCCCAAAGGGAATGTGGCCGATTATGGAGTAACCACGTTGAGAGACAGGAGATACCCACACCTAACCAGAGGTGAGAAAGTAAAAAAATCACCTGAACTGGGAAAGAAAATCTATTAAACTATTCACTGGTTTGGAATCATAAACAGATAAAACCAGCTTCAAAGTTAATAGGAGACAATACTTTCACAAAAAAGATGTGTAACTGTCATGACATTTTACCTCTGCTTTTTTTTTTTTTTGGTATATATATTTTTATTGGAGTTCGATTTGCCAACATATAGCATATCCACCCAGTGCTCATCCCATCAAGTGTCCCTCTCAGTGCCTGTCACCCAGTCACCCCAACCCTCCACCCACCTCCCCTTCCACTACCCCTTGTTTGTTTCCCAGAGTTTGGGGTCTCTCATGTTCTGTATCCCTCACTTATATTTCCCACTCATTTTCTCTCCTTTCCCCTTTATTTCCTTTCACTATTTTTTTATATTACCCATATGAATGAGACTATATAATGTTTGTCCTCCGATTGACTTATTTCACTCAGCATAATGCCCTCCAGTTCCATCCACGTTGAAGGAAATGGTGGGTATTCATCGTTTCTAATGACTAATATCCCATTGTATACATAGACCACATCTTCTTTATCCATCATCTTTTGATGGACACCGAGGCTCCTTCCACAGTGTGGCTGCTGTGGACATTGCTGCTTTAAACCGGGGTGCAGGTGTCCTGCCATTTCACTGCATCTCTATCTTTGGGGTAAATCTCCAGTAGTGCAATTGCTGGGTCGTAGGGCAGATCTATTTTTAACTCTTTGAGGAACCTCCACACGGTTTTCCAGAGTGGCCACACTAGTTGACATTCCCACCAACAGTGCAAGAGGGCTCCCCTTTCTCCACATCGTCTCCAACATTTGTGGTTTCCTGTCTTGTTAATTTTCACCATTCTCACTGGTGTGATTACCACCAGTGAGAAACTTTGTTCTTCAATATCACGTACTAACAAATGTGCTACAAATTATCTAGAATGAAATTCCGATTCCTGACAGAAGTCACTGTGACAGAGAAGCAGCTTTGATTTACAACTGGAACCAAATAAGGAGTTTGGGACACTGCATTTCACATCTAAATTTTTCAGTTTCCAAGGAAATAGGAACCTGGGTCCGCTTCACAGTCCAGACCTGATGTTGACCTACTACTCACACCCCAGCTTTGCTGCCCACACATCCAAGCACTGCTTCATATAGATTTCACCTAAAATCCACCCTTCCCCGAAGTCCTATGACAACTCTGTTTTCCTTTGTTTAGTGGGATACCCCCCACAGATCTCATGTTTGTCACTCTCATGGCAATGGGTCCCTGACCCCAACTTGGTGGAGTACAGGCTTGTTCCTGGTAGTCTGAGGCTGATCAGCCTAGGGCGGAGGTTACTAGGATCTGGCTCTGAATTGGCAACAGTTCAAGATATTGCTGTGTTTACCAGAGTAGGAGCTTATGAAGTCAAATGGATTGTATTTATTTGTTTATGAGAGACACACACAGAGAGGCAGAGGGAGAAGCAGGCTTGCTGTGGGAAGCCCAATGCAGGACTCGATCCCAGGACTCTGGGATCATGACCTGAGCCAAAGGCAGACACTCAACTACTGAGTCACTCAGGTGCCCCAAGTAAAATGGATTTTTAACCCAGGATCATCTCACATTAAGATCACTGTGACCCAGAACCCACCGCATGTATATACCCAGATCCAGAGTGAATACATAGACATACTGCACTTGGGAGAATGTGAATTCTCAGCTGTGAAGATAGGAATCTTTGGACTAAAGAGGCCTGGAGATAAGCCCAGCTTGTAGGCTGAATTACTCAGGGCAAACTAACCTCTCCGAGGGAGTTTGCTTATATGCAAAACGGGAAAAGAAATAGCAATTCACGTGGGGCTATTGGGGGTTAGGTAGAGCCAAGTGTACAGAGTGGCCAGTGTGCTGCTTAGAGCACAGTGGGCACACAGCAGAGCCAGCTCTCTTCCCTGCCACTCTGGTCACGGCAGCAACAGCAGGAGAAAGAGCACATTGCCTTTGGGGATGGATGGCTTGAGTCACAATCTTGGTTCCACCTCACTGGCCTGTTTTTCATTATAAAAGAGGGCATAGTATAACTCCAATTGCAGAGAGATTTGTATGTAATTACCCATATAACGCTGTAACCTGCTTTCCCAAATAGCACTCTTTTCCTTTCTTAAAAGAGATCTAGTATAGTTGATTCGTGGATTCAATCAACAAATGTATTTGGTAAGTGCCTATTCTGGGTATGGTTCTAGATGCTAGGGATAGAGAATTGAATAAAATAAGATCCCTGCCCTCGTGGAGCATACATTCTAGCACAGAAAGATGATAAGCACAGAAATTATCTGGTGGTGATGGATGCCTCTGAAGAAAAGTAGAGAGTGAATAATGTAGCTCATTGTGGAATAAAGGTAGAGTAGCCTTTCCATCCTGTGGTTAAAGGAAAATATCTAGAAGCTCCTATCTCAGAAGAATTTGGAAAGTGGATGCAGGGCCTGGGTCCAAGCTCTGTAGGCTGGGGTGCCCTGTATGAAAACAACTGTTTTACCCTCAAAACTACAGGGCCTACTTGAGGGTGGGGACTGATGTTTATCTGCTTCTGTATCCTAAGCATTCCAGGTAGAACAGTGTTCATTGCATGTTTCAAACACTCACTAATCACGGAAACATCTCAAGTCACTTGTTTCTCACCCTTTACATCCACCCCATGACCTTGGGAAGAGGTTAGGGCAGGTTTCCGGGTTGAGGGTCACTGGCCAATGCTGTACTGGCCACAGCACCAGGCTCCAAGGACTGACAACTCACCTGGGTGCCAGCAACTGAAAGAGGAGATAGCAGGAGGGAGTGCAAGCTGCTCAGAGCCCACCTGCCCTGATTTCCTCAACAACCAGGCTGGCTGATCCTCATTATGGGCATCTATTCTGAGCCAAACTAGAAAGCCCAACTCTCTAGACCCAGCTAACAGCAGAGAGCCTCGCAGGGTTCCCATTCTCACCCTTTCTGTGCTCCTACTATTATTCTATTTACTCCTTCTGAGCCCACTTCCTCTTCTCACCTACCTGGGCTTTAGGGTTGTCATTCCAACTACAGAATGAGAGGAATGAGGTCAGGAGAGCTCTCTCTATTATTCACAATCCCGTTTTTCCAGAAATCGAAAACTAAAGGGGCTTTAAGAGGTCCCCTAGCTATGCTGAGAATCTCTTTCTGGGGATGTTGATTCCCTGTCAGACTGAAACATCCATGACGGTGTCCAATTCCCCAGTAGTGACAAAGGTCTACACTACACCCAAAAACCTTCCCTGCATTTTCAGAGCAGTTTCTGTAATTTTTTTCATGTTTATTGGGTAAATTAACAAAAATAGTATATATTTAAGGTATAGAATCTCAAGATTTAATAAATCTATACATTATGAAATGATTACCACAATCAAGCTAATTAACACATCCATCACCTCACAGTTTTTCCACACCTTTCTTTGTGTGATAAGACCACTTAAGATCTATTCTCAGCAAATTTCAAGTACAAAATGCAGTATTAAGTATATAATCACCGTGTGTACATTAGATCCCCAGAAATTACTCATCCTGTAACTATAATATTGTGCCCTTTGACCAATATCTCTCCATTTCCCCCCAACACAGTTTCTCTGGTCCTGGTGGTCTGTTCCAAATTTCTTCATTAGAACACACATACACTGGGATGCCTGGGGGGGCTCAGTGGTTGAGCGTCTGTCTTTGGTTCAGGGCATGATCCCAGGGTCCTGAGATCGA